GGAGGTAGCCGCCAAATATTGTGCTATCAGAGAGAATTATCAGGTTGTCAGCCTGGAGCTGAAGGGGCTGTAATGAGAAGTCCCTAAATGAAGTGGTGCCTGAGTCCTCCCAAATGTCTCTTATTAGACATGGATAATTGTCCCATTCGCCCTCCGCCCCTCCAGCCTGCTTCTGTTTGGAGGGAGCAGGAGGTGTTGGGTGAGGACATCTGGGGAGTTGGGGGTGCAGGAGGGATCCCCAGAGCAAGGGTGAGTCCTGGACTGTCACCATGGAGACCGGGCTCTGGAGCTCAGCACAGGGCTGTCTTCAATGCCTTCTAGCTCAATGGACGCGGTGGGGGTGGGGGCGGGTGGTGGACTCTGCATGGTCAAAGTCCCCTGGAGGTGTCTCAGGACCAGGATTTGAGGGCAGGCACAAGATGCTTCTGAAGAACTCCCCAGGGTTGCGCAGAGTATAGAGAGGGTCCTGAATGGCTCACCAGAGGGTCTGAGAGGGCTCTAGGGCAGCGGGCCCCAAAGTCCCCTGAAGGCTTCAGTGCTCACACTTTGTCTCTTTGGACCTGTTGGAATTTTCTATGGAAAGAATGTTCCTGGGGGAGATGGAGACACAGGATCATCTCAGAAAACACGGAGGAAACATGTAAAGTTCTTTATTATCTTAGGGGGGTTAGTGATGAGTACTGTAATTGATAGTCTTCCTTTTCAGTCCAATTTTAATTTTTGTGCAGTATGTTAAGCCACTAAAAATACCTTTGTTTTCTCTGAAACCCGTGATGCTTTTTCAGATTTTGGGGGGTTGTTTTTACAGTATTGCCACCAAACCCAGGGCCGTGCCCAGGCTAGGCAAGCACCCTGCCATGAGCCACACCCACAGCCCCTCATGAATCTTATGTTGCTGTTGATTATGTGGAGTAGATGAGAGTTGGGGTGCTGTGGAGGAGAGGAGTGGAGGGATGGGCCCACTCTCTTCACCTGTGTGACAGATCTTGAGGTCTTCCTTGCCGAGGGCTCCTGGGAGCATAGTCTCAAGCCATGGATGGGTGTCATTGCCCAAAGAATGCCTTTTCCCTGTCCCTTGCTCCCTGCTTTCTTTTTCCCATAGGATCTTCTACTCCAATGCAGTGAAATGTGATGGGCCTGGAATCATTTTCTCTAACCTCCTGGAGATGATCTTGAGTGGACGGCCACTCCTCCAGCACATGTGTATTCTGCGCACCTTGACTGACACCCGCTGCGAGGCAGGAGCCCTGTCCTCTCGTGGGAAATAGGTGATGGGCCTGGAGCCTTGTCATGGGACCTGGGCCATCCGAGTGAGCGAGCGCGGAGCAGGCGCTGAGCCACGGAGCTCCTGCCCTCGGTGTAGCCTCAACACGCCCAGCACCTCCACCCCAGGTTGCCCCCTCAGGGTCCCATTCTGCCCGATGACAATGATGAGAAGCCTGGCAGTCAGTGCCGCCTCCGTTGTCCTGCCTCTCTCTTTTTAATTCCGTGATCTGGGGAAGGGACCAGGGCCTTGCGAGCTAGTCAGTTCTCCGCCCCTGAGCTGCATCGCCAGCCTTCCGGCACCATTTTCCATCTGTCACCATTTCAGAGTCTGGCCCAGATGTCCTCCGCAGCTCTCTCGGGCTCATCCTTTCGTCTCCATTTCCTCTGCTACAACCCAAGGCCCGTGCCCTCATTGCCACCACCTGGATTCTTTAGACACACCCAGAGGCTTCCTCACCCTCACCCCCCCATTGTAAGTGTCACCCTGGATCTTCCTTCTTAAGTCACCTCTCTCTCTCTGCCACCTTTCATGGCTGTCATGACTGTTTCTGGGACAACAGGTCACCTCCCGTCCTGGGTCACATGCCCCTCCACAGACTGACTCCCCTTCCCTCTGTGTGGGCCACAGCACCCTATGCGGTTGCTCACTTATGCGACCTGCTCATGTCCTTTCTGTTCCATCATCCTGGGATGTACCTCCTCCTCACCTGGCCCTTCCTAAGCAGCCCTGCCCATCATCCAAGACCCTGTTCTGTTCCCAGGAAACTGCTGTTACCCAGAGGGATCGCTGTCTCTTTTCTCCCTTCCTTCCCACTTCCCCCTTTCCCCTCCCCTTCATCTCCTTCAATTTCTCCAGACATTTGTTGAGCACTTATTATATCCGATGCTGAAGAAACAAAATGAAGGAACAGTGTTTTTCACTTGAGGGCAGAGGTCATAGCTATCTTTCCACCTCTGTCTCCAGAGCCTGGCCCCGCGTGAGAATATGGCATGCCTATCTGTTGAACATGCCTGTGTGCTTGCGGCTTACCGACCCTAGTCTGTCGCTGAGATCGGTCATCACTGTGGGAAAATTGGTTTTGCATTATCAACTACTGACCAAGCATATATTGTGCTGAGCACATCACACAGAGTGAGAAAAGTGAAAGATAAAGGGGAAGGGCCAGAGTCTCGAGGAGTTAGGTTTTACAGCAAAACAAAACCAAAACCAAAACCAAAAAAACCACTGAGTTATTTATGTGTGACCCACTGGCGGCCAGGTCCAGGGTTCGCATGCACACACTACACCTGCAAAGTGTGGTGGCCATTGTCACCCACATTTTACAGATGAACTGAGCGCTGGAGTTTGGACCTTAAGTGTTTCCCAAAAGCCTAGGTGTTAAAGGCCCAGGTGTTGGGTGGTAGTGGGAATTTTAAGAGGTAGGACTGGGAGAAGGTTTTTAGGTCATTGACGGTGCATCCTTGAAAGGAATGTGGGACCCTGATCTCTTCCCATGTCTTGGTTTCACAGCTAGGGGGTGAGCGGCTTTGCTCTGCCATATGCGCTCTGCTATATGCTCTTTGCCATTGTCATCCAGTGCCCCTCCAGCAGCCTAAAACTACTGGATCTTCTGGATCATGCCCTGGAACCTCCCCAAATTGTGTGCCAAAATAAATTTTAAAAAATGAATTTGTGTGCCAAAATATCTTCTTTTTATAAAATTTTTCTTTTTGTAAATTGATCATCTCAGCTAGTTGTCATAGTGATGAAAAACTGATTGACACATGAGGCTCATGGAAATGAAGGACCTGCCCAAGGTCATATGAGTAACCTGGGTGTAACTCAATCCCAAGAGTCCATATCCACTATCCCAAACTATCCACTGTCCCATATCCATACCCACTGGATATTGAATTAATGACCCGAAACCTGGATTTTGATTCTCAAGCTAGTATTCACCCCACCAACCAGGCAGCCTCCCAGACCATCTAAGGGAGGTGGAGGATCTCTCGAGTGAAGATATTTTCCTGGTTCTTATGTGGTCTGCCTCCCAGCTGGGGGTCAATAAGACCGAGCTGGGGTTGAGGGTGAATTAAAGAACTGGTCACCACCAGGAGGTATAAAAGAAAGGATGTGTAATGGGTGTTACTTATTATTGTACAAATAACTACTACTTATATAATGATCATAAAACATAATTCTATACATAATATACATATTCTATAATTATGTACAGACAGTTCACAAGTTATAACTTCATGAGGGTGTGGAAGTGAAAGTACACAGCAAATTTGGGATTTGATCTTTTCCTAGGTGAGCAATACAGGGTACTCTTGTCTCTTGCGATGGTTGGCAGAGCAGCCAGCAGCAGCCTCCTGTCACTCACACGAGTGTGGGTTGAGGGAGGGACCACGCTCTGCAGCCTTCCGCGATGCAGGATATGATTGTTGGTGTGTTAGGTCTATTATTACGTGCATTTTCAACTTGTGATATTTTTAACTTATGAAGGGTTTATTGAGACACAATCCCATCACAAGTCAGGAAATATTATAAGTCATATTTCCATTGTTATAAAATTTATAATAGCTAACTTTTATTGAAGGTCAAGCACATAATAAGAGCTTTTCATGATTATTTTATTGAATTCTCTCGAGTCCTCTGATGTGAGTACTGAATTAGACTCATGTGAAGATGAGGTTGTCTGGGGCCCACCTTCTGGCAGAATGGCAAATTCACACAATTTGTTCTTAGAAAGGACATCGGCCCCAGAAGTCTTGTTTCAGAGCCGTGTCCTAAGGTCCTTATTTGGATCTTATACACTTTACTACAGAGTCCCGGACCTCCAGGAACTCACAGAACCACCTTAAGCCCTAGGCCAGTGCTAGAGGAGGATGTGGACTGACTTCCCTGGGCATAATGTCCCATGGGCCTGATTCTCTGGGTGGGTGAGAGCTGACCGCCTAGCCAGGGAAGCTTCACCCGAGAGTGTGAATGTGGGCCTCTGGGTGCTCTGATCACCCTGTCCCTCACAACCACATCAGCCCAAAGAATCCTTCTGTCCCTTCACCCTGTGGACTGGGCAGCCTTTTGGGATGGAGGAGGAGTGTCATGGTAATGAGTGGGGCCAGGGATTCCAGAATGATCTGGGGTTGACACCTGGAATGTCCGCTGATTTCACAAGCCTCAGTTTTCCTATCCATAATGGGGACAATACCACCCATCTCAGAAAGTCACTATGGAGATTAAGAAAGAGTGCCCATCTGGGCCATTGGGCTCAGGGCCTGGCTCACAATAAGTGCTCAGTGGAAATGGCCCTTTTTCATCAGGAATGCTCTTCTTCTTCTCAGAAAGCTGACCTCCATCTTGAACACCAGGCCAGGGCTGCTGACTTCCACGGGAGAGTGGGTGTGGGTGGGAGGCGTGACCAGACAATAGAGGACTCCCTTTTGACATGAGAGGGGACTTTTAATTAGTATCAATGGCTCTTTGAGGAGCCGATGTTTCACTCAGGCAAACAGCTGCTCCTGTTTGCAGGCAGACCACGGTTTAGTTCTCAGGTGTTTTCAGGTGGCTCTCAAGGCTGGCATTTGGGGTGGACAAGCACAGATGTCGAGGCATGTGGGCAGCTGTGAGCCAAGCTTTGTTGGTGGGAGGGGAGGGGTGGGCAACAGGCCCACGTAGCTGCTAGAGGGCTGCTAGCCTTGGCAGAGTTGGGGGTATCCCCTGGGCCATGGAGGGCCAGCTTGGTTCCTGGTCTGGCCAGTGTTGCGTTGGCTTCCATTTGTCCAGAGAGGCTGTGTGAGTGTGTCCTGTGCAGGGTGGTGGAGGGGACTGGATGGGAACGCACTTGAACCCTTCCACATTTGGTGGGTTTATTCTCTGCAGAAAAATGTTCTGCTCACTGCAAGGAGGGGTCCTGTTCCTGCAAGGGAGTGGCCCTGCCAAACAGGGGACCCAGGGACTCTGAGATGAAGCCATGTCAGAACCCCGAGGTGACTGCCTCACCCTGTGCGCATCCCCTGCATGCTCAGGCTGCTGTGGCCTGGGCAGGCCGAGGGAGCCCTTTACCAAGGAGGCCCCTGGACTTTTCTATTTTCTTTCTTTTCAATATTTATTCTTTAAGTTTTAGATGAACACAATGTCTTTATTTTACATTTATGTGGTGCTGAGGATCGAACCCAGTGCCTCGTGCATGCTAGGCGAGCACTCTACCACTGAGCCACAACCCTAGGCCTCCCCCTGGACTTTTCTAACACCATGGTAAGGAGGGGAGGGCTGCCGGGCTTGAGAGGAGAGGTGGAGGGGTGGGAGAGTTGGGAATCTGAGTCTGAGGGCCCCTCCTGTGCAGTTCTTTCTGACCCAGGTTAGCAGGAACCAGGAGCAGGAGGAGGTGGCCGGGCTAACAGGTGTGACTAAGAAGGCTTAAAAGTAGGGTGCGCTCAGTCAGGAGCATCTCGATGGGGGAGCACCCATGCAGAGGTGCTGAGTTGGTGGGTGCTAGTGGCAGGGGGTGCTAGTGAGTAGCCAGTGGGAGGAAGTGGGGCAGCAGTGGCGACAGGTGGTATTGGAAGAGACAGGTGCAGACTGGCCCAGGGAGAGGGACAGGGGAGCTGGGCATCAGGTGGTCCTCAGGGGGCTCTGGTCTTGGGGCAGGGTTGGGGGCAGGCTGTCGGTGTCCTTGCTGCCTCTCTCTCAGCACAGCTTGTTGCCCTTCTCCCCCACCCCCATCCCCCTCGTCCTGCAGATGTTCCCCTGCCCTCTGTCCTCTGCTCAGGGCAGAGCAGAAGCAGGACATCACAGCTTCTCCCTCCTCAGGACTCCTCCAGATGCTTTTCTCCATGTCCCCGTAGATCTCCCTCCTCACTGCTTCCTTCATCTCCATCAGCCCCCAAAGCTTCGGGCCTAGACTGCACCCCCACCCCCCCGGCCTCTTTGGGGGACTGACAGCTCAAGACAGCATGGAAAAACCACCACTCTGGCTCCGGCGGTCTCCGATGTCTTGCAGCAGAACACTTAAAAAGCTGAAGACCTCATGAAGAGCTCACATACCTCTGCCCCCAGCCCCTGAGATCCCCAATTATTTCCTGGGGAGGGAGGAGCTGTGTTGACATGGGAGGCTGAGGTTATGAAGGCCGGCTCACGCAGAGTGATGGATTCCCAGCCCACACTGGGGCCCGGCTGCCCTGGTGCCTGCGCACCCAGGTGTGTTTGAGAGACTGATGGAACGGGCTTCTGGGCTCCACCCCTTTCCCAGCCAGACTTTTTCTTATAGAATGTAGGAAAGCCTCTGGTTTAGAATTTCTGGGAGAATTTTTTTTTTTTTTTTCCTGGAGCAGAAATGCTAGCTGAGGAAGCAAGGTGACTGTGCCCAAGCCTTTGTGGATCTTGGCTCTTCCCTCCCCACTTCCTCTTGTTCTCCTGGCCTCACTCCCAGCTCTATTGAACCTTTCTACCTCCCTGAAACCCTCTCTCTCTGCACAGGCTAGGCCTCACTGTGCCAAGAGGGCCACCTGGGAGCTCTGAAGGGACAGTGGTCTGTGTGGTCTTTAAGACCCTAGAGTTCATGGTGCTATGGTCTCTGTGTGTGCAGAGCATGTAGGAAAACAGCCAGCGTCACTAAGTCCGTGGTGATTGGGGTCTTCTAGATCTGGACTCCTAGAGCCCTGGTACTCACTCATCCCTGCCACCCACAACTGTCAGTCCCCAGGCTTCTGAGGGTGTGTTCTGGTCCTTCAGTGTTCCAAGTCTGTTGTCACTCCATAGGTAAACGTCTTTGTATTATGGCTGCACAGTGGTGGGGCAAGCTCAGTACAGATGAGTGTAAAAGCATGGGGTGGTTTGTGTGACAGAGGAGCTAGAGCCTTGGAACACGCTCTGCACTGAGTCTGATGGGGGAGGAGGGGTGCTGCATGCCCCTCTGTTCCATTACAATCTCCCTCTTTTGATCCATGCTTGGAGGTCAGCTTGGAGGCCGTGGGGGCTGGTGCAAGGGTGTATCCACTCTACCCCTTCTCAGACTGGCCACTTAGGCCTGGACTTTGTCTCAGAAGCAGGTTGAGGGGAGATGAACGATGTCCTTAGTTAGATGTGGTCAGAATGTCTGAGTCATGGGTTGTGTGCCTTTGCTTCTAAGGAGCCTGTCTTTTGCCAGCACATGTGCATGCCCACCCTCCTGGCTGTGAGCTGGGGCAGCCCAGCTGAAATCCTGCTACTCTGGTCTCAACTCTCAGGACATCCAGTGAAACTTAGAGTCTTTGGATGGTCACACTTGATCCCAGGTCACTGGACTAAAAGGGATCAAATGATCAGTTTGATGAAGATATCATATCAAGATATTTTGGTGTTTAAGAGGGGCTTACTTCAAGTGTGGAAATTTGGGTAGGGGGTGGCAGAGAAGCTCCGTGGAGGAGGAATCATGATATGGGGAAGGGGATGGAGGAGTAATGTCACTGTGGTGCAGGTAGAAGTATGAGTGATGAATACCCACCCTTAGCTGCCCACTTGGAGTACCTGACCAATGGGTCACCTGCCAGGGTCTGAGTCCTGGAGAGTAGGAAAAAACACAGGGCCAGTCTTGCCTGGGAAGAAACTCTGACCCTGTCACTAGCAGTGTGAACTGGGGAAAGCTCTTTATTCTCTCTAAGCCTTAAGTTTCCTCATCTGCA